AATAAGAAAGCAGAGTAGCCATATTGCTGATAGGGAGAAAGTTTGAGTGGTCTGGATAGATCAAATTAGCCATAACATTTTCTTAAGCCAAAGCCTAATCTAGAGCAAGGCACTAGTTCTCTTTAATTATATGAAGGCTGAAAGACGGGAGGAAGAAGAAAAGTTTGAAGCTAGCAGAGGTTGGTTTATGAGGCTTAAGGAAGGAAACCATCTTCATAAGGTGAAAGTGTGATATGGTTAGACTTTGTATCTCCACCCAAATCTCATCTTGAATTATAATCCCCATAATTCCCAAGTGTCAAGGGAGAGACCAGGTGGAGGTAACTGGATTATGGGGTGATTTCCCTCATCTGTTCTTGTGATAGTGCGTTCTCATGAGATCTGATAGTTTTATAAGGGGCTTTTCCCACTTTGCTCAATATTTATCTTTCCTGCCACCTTGTAAAAAAGAGGCCTTGCTTCGCCTTCACTTTCCACCATGATTGTAAGTTTCCTGAGGCCTCCTCAGCCAAGCTGAACTGTGAGTCAATGAAACCTCTTTCCTTTATAAATTATCCAGTCTTGGGCCGTTCTTTATAGCAGAATGAAAATGGACTAATACAAAGTATAAAGTGAAACAGCAAATGCTGATGTAGAAGCTGCAACAGGTTATGCAGAAAATCTAGCTAAGATAATTGATGAACGTGACTATACTAAACAACAGATTTTCAGTGTAAATACCTTCTTTGGAAGAAGATGCCATCTAGGACTTTGATAGCTAGAGAAGAGACGTCAATGCCTGGCTGCAAATCTTTAAAGGACAGACTGACTCTTGTTAGGGGATAATGCAACTGGTGACTTTAAGTTGAGGCTATTGCTTACTTACCATTCTGAAAATTTTACAGCCCTTAAGAATTATGCTGAATCTATTTTGCCTGCACTCTGTCAATGGAACAGCAAATCCTAGATGACAGCACATCTATTTAGAGCATGATTTACTGAATATTTTAAGCCCCCTATTGAGACTCTGTTGAGACTGGAAAAAAAGATTTATTTCATAATATTACTGCTCATTAATAATGTACCTAGTCACCCAAGAGCCCTGATTGAGATTTACAAGGAGATTAATATTGCTTTCTTGCCTGCTAATACAATGTCTATTCTGCAGCTCATGGATCAAGGAATAATTTCAAACTTCAATTCTTATTATTTAAGAAGTATATTTCATAAGGCTAGACCTGCTTCAATGATACTTTGTAGATCTGGCAAAGTAAACTGAAAACCTTCTGGAAAGGATTCACCATTCTAGTAGCCATTAAGAACATTTGTGGTTCGTGGAAGGAGGTCAAAATGTCAACTTATTATGATAGGAATTTGGAAGAAGTTAATACCAAGCCTCATGGATGACTTCATGACTTTAGTGGAGGAAGTACCTGAAGATGTGAAGGAAATAGCAAGAGAACTAGAATTAGAAGTGGGACCTGAAGATGTTACTGAATTGCTGCAATATTATAATAAAACTTGAATGGATGAGGAGTTGCTTCTTGTGGATAAGCAAACAAACAAACAAAAAAAGGTTTCCTGTGATGAAATCTAGTGCTGGTAAAGATTCTCTGAATATTGCTGAAATGACAGCAAAGGATTTAAAATATTACAAAACTTAGTTGATAAAGCAATGGCAGGGTTGAGGGTACTCACTCCAATTTTGCAAGAAGTTCTGTGGGTAAAATGCTATAAAATACCATCACATACTATAGAGAAATCTTTCATGAAAGGAAAAGTTAATTGATGTGGCCAACTTCATTGTTGTATTATTTTAAGAAATTACTGCAGCGACATAAACCTTCTGCAACCATCACTCTTCCTTTTTTTTTTTCCTGTCACCAAGGTGGGAGTGCAGTGGCACCACCATAGCTCACTGTAACCTCTGTCTCCCTGGCTCAAGGGATCCTCTTGCCTAAGCCCCTGAGTGCTTGAGACTACAGACACACACCACTATGCCCAGCTAATGTTTTTGAACTTTAGTAGAGATGAGGTCTTACTATGTTACCCAGGAAGTCTCAAACTCTTGAGCTCAAGTGATCCTCCTGCCTCAGCCTCCCAAAGTGCTGGGATTACAGGCATAAGTGACTGCACCAGGCCTATCAGCCACCACCCTGATCAGTCAGTAGTCATCAATACCAAGGCAAGACCCTCTATAAGCAAAAATATTATGACTTACTAAAAGCTCATATGATCATTAGAATTTTTAGCAATGAAGTATTTTTAAATTAATATTTATATATTTTTAGACATATTATTATTATAACTTAACAGACTATAGTGTAAACAGAACTCTTTAGAACCCAAAACATTTGTATCATTCCCTTCATTTTGATACTCACTGTATTGCAGTGTGAAACTGAACCTAAAATATCTCTGAGGTATGCCTATAAGTAATTATATAAAATTTTATATTGGTTTTGAGTCATTTTATGCAGGTAAATTTCATTATCTTAATTAAATTGCAATACCTTTAAAGTCAAAGACTGAGTCTTCTTTGAACTTTTTATTTTCATAACAGTGAACTATGGGCATGGCTCAATCCATTGACCCATTTTGGTTCCTGATAGAGTTTTGTTAATTTAGAGGAGAAAACTAAAGACAGTGAAGTAAGTTTTTTATAAAACTAAATTTATTTGGTTTATAAAACAGTTTAATATTATGTTCTTCCTATATATTTTATGTAAAGTTACCATCTCTTTTTCTAGATGACTATAATAGATGAAAAAATTTAAATGTTTTTATTTGTCAAAGTACAACATTGTCAATCCTGTGTCAATGTCTAACTTTTCCTTATACTCATCTAAATTATCTCAAAATTGGAGCTTATTAAATACTTATTGTGTCACACAGACTATAGTGTCACACAGTAAGTATTTAAGACTTTCTTGATAACTAATTTGTGTTGCATGCTCATTTATTCCACAAGTTTCAGTTGACTATCAACTCAATTTAAGTTGCTATAAATATTATTTGTATTGAAAACATACTGGTAAACACCGAAATGGGGGGGGTTATTTTTATTCTGTTTTAGAGCGGCATAATTTCTATGGTAAAGTGACTAATCTGAACTATGTAAGAGATTAAGAATCACTTGAGAATCATTTTCAAAGAATAACTTTTTAAAATATAGCGTACTGCTGACTTGTGTAAAAATTATGTGTGATGCTGAACTTGTTTGAAACTCAAATTTTTGGGACCCCCCCCTCCCCACAGACCAACTGAATCAGGATCTCTGGGTTTAGGAACTTTAAACTCACACTTTAAAGTAGCTCTGCAAGTGATTAGGATGCAGATGGTTCATGAAGTTAAAAACAACCGCTATCCTAGCAGGCTGATCCAGATGTAAGCTTCTATTTCAGTTCTGCCAGTTACTGGTCATTGTTTTCTGGATAAGGTTTCTAAGCATCTTTAAGTCTCAGCTTATTCTTCTATAAAATATGGTTACCAGTAAGGCTGCTGTGGTTAAATGAGATAATGGATATAAAGTAGTGTACAATGAAGGTGGTCAATAAATATTAATTTACTTCTTTTCCTTCCTTTGAAATTTCCTTGCACTTCAGTGTTGAGTAGTATAAAGAATTTTTGATTTATGTACTAGATATTGCTTTGGCTGCAGATCTCATTACTGAACCAATCATATGTTACTAAAGCTCCTTTTTATTTTATTTTTTTAACTCTTGAAGCCAAAGTCCTCTCACTTGCCATTAAGTTGCAGAAGTATAGTGCTTTCCTAATCTCCAGGCTTCTGCTTCTCCCATTCTTAACTAGCATGGGACCAAATGGAAGGATTAATGGGCTAGAAATCATTTGGGTATTGATTTACCACTTAGTAAAATTATATACTTTTTCTATATGATTTCATAGTTCTTTAATGTTAAAAAAAGTCTCATTTTTATGTCACACATAAAATTGAAAAGACATTATTAAGTTCTCCAACTATTTTACCACTTGCCAATGTAGACTCCTAGATTTATGTGGAAGAAAATTATTTCATTTCAGGGAAGAAAATAAGTAAAGGATCTACTAGAATCAATTTTTACTAGACAATGTCATCTTTTTGACTTAGAAAAGGGATGTGGTAGAGAGAGAGATAGCAGCTAGAGATCTAAGGGCAAGAAAACCACACTTTGAGGAACCTTATCCCATATCAGAATCTCAGTAGCTCTTCCCTCTGTTTCAGCCTCACCCCTTATAAGAGTTGTTCCAAAGTGGGAAGTGAGCTCTCTTTATATATTCAGAATATATATAATTCAGAAATTTGGAGATTAGAAGTAAGGTATAATGCATTAGTTTGCTAGGGCCACCATAACAAGTACCACAAACTAAGTAGCTTAAACAACAAAAATTTACTGTCTCAAAGTCCTGGAGGCTAGAAGTACTAGATCAAGATATCAGCGAGGTTGATGCCCTCTGAGGGCGGTGAGGATGAGTCTGTTCCATGCCACTCCCTTGCTTCTGGTGGTTTGCTGGAAATCTTTGGCATTCCTTGGCCTGTAGATGTATCACCCCAATATCCTCCTTTGTCTTTGCATGGCATTCTTGTGTGTGTTTGTGTATCCAAATTTCCTTTTTTTTAAAAAAAAAAAATAAGGACATTGATCATATTATATTAGAGTAAGACCCACCCCAATGACCTCATTTTAACTTGATTACCTCTACAAAGACCCTATTTCTAAGTAAGGTCACATTCTTAAGTTTTGGGGATTAGGATTTTAACGTATCCCTTTTGGAGGACGAAATTAAACCCATAAAACATGGTTCACAGCATCATGAGCCAGAGGCCTTCCTGGGCAGGATCTATATAAATAGCCTGAGGGCTGAAACCAGGACAAATATACCAGCTTCCCTCAGAACAAAATGCAATTCCTGGATTTTTACCTCCTTTGAAAACTGAGTACTGATTACTTATTTTTATATTACCAACGCTCTTTGAGTGCAACATGCTGAGTACATGTGATTCATTTTATTTTTCTTAGGAACAGAGCTCTTGAAAAACACTGTCTGGGTATCTTCAGAGGGAAAAAGGAGAATCTTAATTGAATTGGTGACACTTTGGGTCTCTCACAGAGGAAGGTAAGGTTTTAGTCAACAGCACACAGAGGATTATCCTGATTTACCCAGGACTGACAGTGTTTGTGAATTCTAAAGCTGTGCATGTAGTGAATATACAAGATAAAATTGAAATAAGAATAACAGAATAGCAGTTTAGAAATGATTAAAATGTGCCCAAGCCCCAAGTTTTCTGATAACGTGATAGTTTTCTAATGGTAAAAATGTTTAAGATGATAGCCATAAAAAAGACAAAAAAAAAAAATAATAAGAAACAGATATATAGCCAAATTTTAATAATCTGTATTATAGATCCATAGCAGATCTGAAGTTGGCTATATACCAGTATCAGGAGGTGCACCCTGGAGCACAGTTTTGTAGCAGCACTCCCAGCTCACAAGCTAAGGACTAGTGACCCTACTTAAGAACAGCTGGCTAAAAGGATAGTCAAGTGAGGGGGATGTGCTGCAAGAGAATCTTGGTAAATAGAGATGCCAACAAAAGGGAGAGTCTGCCTTCTTGTTCCTTTCTGATCTGTAGAACCTGCAGGCCCACTGTAGAACTCCCATTGGAGCACAGTGGAATATGATGAGAGAATCCTTAGGAGACCTTGTCAAGGAATTTGGGGGAAGAGTATGTTTGCAAACATGAGGGAAAGTACTTATTTCTCATTTAGATATTCTGCAGGCAGAAAGCTTACTAGTGTAGCCTGTAATAGGGTTTTAAGCCACCAAAGTAAAGAATAATTGGAAGAAATCCAATCATTTCCGAAGCTCTGTGTGAAAAGATACAGTGTTTGGGATGGGATGCAAAATCTCTAGAAAAGCTCATACAGCCACAGGGAAAAGAGATGGAACTCCTACACAGAAGAAAAGATTGCAGCAGGGATGGAGGGCTACTAGCTTTAGGACAACTAGACACTTCTGAAAGTGAACACTCTGTCCTTACAGAGACCACCAAACCAACAGAAGCCCTCAGGACAGCACACAGCCATTCCAAAATTCCAAACCAGGCTCATTCCAGAAAAGCCTTACATCTCAGTCTAGTATGTGGATGGTTTTATAAGATGACCTGTGATTCTCCTGTTCCTGCTTTCTGCCCCTAATTTTAGAGAAACAGACCTAGAAAGAGGGAAGGGAGGAGTGAAAGAGTGTGCCATGCTTTACCTTCTCCCCTCCTATTTTAAACTGGACAAATCTATGTTTTAATTATTAAAAGTAACTACAAAGTTAAACGGTCTGTCCAGGATGGCATTAAAGAAAATAAGAAAGAAAGGTTTAAGATAGCATGGTTGGAGACAATAATTAGAAGACACCAAGTAGTTTAATTTTTATAATGCTCTGTCTTATAAACACTCTTGAACCAAAAATCATCCTATTATTGGAAGAGATCTTCAGGGTTGAAATGCTACACATAATTGAAGACTACTTGTTAGACCAAGACCTTAAAAACTTCTTTACTGACTGTTCCCAATATGTGGCACTGGTAATCATTAAAGAATCATTGTATTGACTATTAAACACCTGGGGATCCCCTGTTGTGAATCAAGTTAACAAAACATTTATTTAACAAATATATATTGATTGCCTATTATGAAGTAGATGCTATAGTAGGTGTTGGCAGTATAAATATGAAGAAGACATTGTGTGTGTGTATTTATATACAGCTAATTAAACTTCAGCCAAAGAAGTACTATACTAGAGGGTTGATGGAAGTATGATGGTATCTCCCAGGAGGAAGCAGTTAGCCCTTGGAAATGAGTAGTCTTCACAGAAAGTATGACATTTGACCTACTTCTTGAGGAGATGCATATTAAGCATATTAAATCCATGTCAGCCTTTAACACCGTTGCTCAGGTTAGTTTCTTGGGCTGTTTTTCCACCTGGTGAGCAGATAAGAGTAGTACAGGAAAGTTCTGATGAAAGGAAGAAGTGCCAGAGAGAGAAGGCCTTGTAAGGAAAGAAGCCTGTAACACAGAACTCCCTGAGTATCCTAAGTACCAGCAATTTAAGGAAGAAAATTGCTGCCAGAAGTGCAGGAAATCAAAATTCTGACCTAGATCATTTCACTTACGTCTTCCCTGGTTCTATGAATATATCTCGGGGGTCCTTTTATAATCACATTTCATTTACCAGGCAAGATTAATCAGTGACCAGATGAGACAGTCACTGACTCTTAAGATTTTACAATTTGAAACAATTTGTACAAATGTGTAGAGAGACAGGTAGACCAGTGGTCTCCAACCTTTTCGGCACCAGAGACTCATTTTTTGGAAGACAATTTTTCCACAGGTTGGGTTAGGGGAGTGGGAGTTGGATGTCATGGGGGTTGGATGTGTTGGGGGGTTGGTTTCAGGATGAAACTCTTCCACCTCAGATCATCAGGCATTAGTTAGATTCTCATAAGTAGTGTGCAACCTAGATCCCTTACATGAGCAGTTCACAATAGGGTTCACACTCCTGTGAGAATCAAATATGTGGCTGATCTAATGGGAGGAAGAGCTCAGGCAGGTGGTAATGCCCACTCACCGCCACTCACTTCCTGCTGTCTGGCCTGGTTCTAAACAGGCCACAGACCAGTACCTGCCTGTGCAGCTGGGGGGTTGGGGACCCCCAATTGTAGATCAGTAAAACAAGGACTGATAGAGCTGCTAATGCAAGCCTCAAAATGAGTAAATAAGCAAATACAGAAGCGCAGTTCAAGTATACATATGTTCTCTTTATCCTTGTAGCTGCTGAAGTTTTGATGATTCTACTTTGTATTTTTAACGGTTCCAATTTTAATGAGGTGTGTAATTGAGTGTTAGTTGTGTGATTTGGAGCAAGTCTCTGAGAGATCCCTTTTTAAAAAAATAATCCAAAAAACTAGAAGATTGGACTAAATTACCACTATGATTCTTTTCAAAGCTATCTTAATTTACAACTATTTGAAGTTACTTCAATCAATGCTAATAATACCATAGTTGCAGATTTGAAGCACTCAGATGCAATTCACTTATTTAAAAACTACTTGGTAAGGGTTTATTGGGAGGATTGCAAGATAAAATATGGAACACCTAGTTAAATTTGAATTTCACATAAAGAATGAAGATTTTTAATGTAAGTATGTTTCATGAAATATTTGAATATACACAAATATCTAAATATACTTATTTTGTGCTCCATTTGAAGTTAAAATTTAACTATGTGTTCTTCTAAAATTTGTTACAAAATCTAGCATTCTTACATCTATGTTAGTTTCAATAGAGTAACTAGGCTCTGTGGAAGACAAAATGGTGAATCAGTCATAGATCATTCAGTCTAGAGGGGCAAATGAGAATCAAATATTAATAATGATATTGCTAAGTAAAAAGCGATGAGTTCATGAGAAATATACTAAGAGAGCGCTATAAAAGTTTGCAGGAGAGAGAAATTACTTTCAGTCACAAGAGCAAGAGAAGAACTTGAGCTGGGCTGAGAAAGATGGCAGGATCAAGGCTTGTGAATATGGTGGGAGGGAGGAGTAAGAGCATTTCCAGTAGAGTAAATGGCTTGAATAAAAGCATGGAGGGAAAGTACAGAGGAAGAGAAGACAGCTAGTCATTTGGTTTGACTGTGGCCTGATTGAGTAAAGGGAAATTAAAGCAGAAAATGCTAGAAAGGGAAGGCAGAGCCATACCAAGAGAGCTAGAGGTAGGAGGGATGAAGGCTAGAAATCTGAATAAGCTAAAGAATTTGATTTGATGCTTGAAGGTGTTTGATCCAGGGTGACACTGCATACCAGTAGCGACAAGGGAGAGTGTAAAGAATCATCTCAAATGAGTCACTTCCAAGAAAAACTTGGGCTGTTAGTGTTGTTTTTACACATAGCTTAAAAAACATATTAGGTGAAAAGGAAATACAGGTAAGTGGGAAAATCACAGGTTTAGGTATGAAAAGATTCTGGGTTCAAATCCAATTCTCCTTCTGTATGTATGTTATTTCCTATCTGAAACTCAGTTTCCTTGTATATAAAAAGGACTACAGATGCTCTTATTATGCCTGGAAGTTATAAGTACCACTGTATACCTGGCACATAGTAGGAGCTCACTAAATACGAATTGCCATGAGTTATTATTTACTTATTACTTATTCTCCTCTAGTCTTCAGAGTATCGTATTTTATTGTAACAGGTGAAGATGCTCCCAATAGATTTAAAATTTTTTTTTCAAAATATTTTCCTCTATATGAAGAAAATCTTTTTCTTAAAATAAAAAAAATACGAGCATATCTATCTGAACTTTTTTAAAAAAAAAGAACAAGGAAAAATTAAGAGCCAATATTTGGAATACTTTGTCCAAATACTTACTGTAAATTGATTTCCTCAATACTAGAGAAAGCTAGATTTTCTTCCTAAATACCACATGGTTAAACCAGAAATCCTGAGAAAAAGCTGAGGTATCTTTCAATAATTCTGAAGGGAAAGCAAGAATTTCTATTTAATTATTTACAGCCTCACCAAATAGTATAGAATTTAGGTCAGCAAGTGAACCAAAGAGTCTCATGGATCCTGTGTACTTACAGGAATAACAAAGCATGTGGGCTCATGACCTGTGAAAGCCAGAGTGAAGGGGAGAATTGAGCAGTAATAGGATCTTTTTTTTTTTTCTGTATAAAGACTTATTCTGGGCCTGGCATGGTGGCTCATGCCTATAAACTCAGCACTTTGGGAGGCCAAGGTAAGAGGATCAGTTAAGCTCAGGAGTTTGAGACCAGCATGGACAACATGGTGAAACTCTATCTCTACAAAAAAATACAAAACTTAGCTGGGTATGGTGGCACGCACCTGTAGTTCCAGATACCCAGGAAGCTGAAGTGGGATGATCTCCTGAGCCCAGGAGGCCTGGCATGCAGTCAGCCAAGATGGTGCCACTGCACTCCAGCTGCGGTGACTGACTGAGACCCTGTCTCAAAAAAATAAAAAATAAAAAAAGACTGATTCTGGGTCATTG